GCAGCAGCAACAGCAGCAGCAGCAGCTGCTGCTGCAGCTGCGGCCCACGTGCCGCGTAGTTTATATTGAGGAGAGAGCGAAAGCAACAGAAGAAATAGTAGCAACAGTACAGCCCCATCTGCATGCATCGATGATACGCCGGTTCCTGAAGCAGCTGCAGCAGCAGCAGCAGCAGCTGCAGCGGCTGCAGCAACAGCAGCAGCAGCAGCAGCTGCAGCAGCAGCGGCAGCAGCAACAGCAGCAGCAGCAGCTGCTGCTGCAGCAGCAGCTGCAGCAACTTTCTCTGTGGGAATTCTGCAATGTAAAGGCTCAACCGAGGTGAGTGTTTGTCTGTCTTTGTCTTTGCTTTTTTCGTTGCTGCGCTGCTGCTGTAGACAGCAGCAGCAGCAGCAGCAGCAGCAGCAGCAACAGCAGCAGCTGCTGCAGCAGAACAGGTGTCTTCTTCTGTGCTGCTGCTGTCTCCTTTTGCTGCAGAGACTGCCGGCTGCCGCCGTTCCGCCTGCCCTTCTTGTCTTTGGTTCGCGCCGTGCAGCAGCAGCAGCAGCAGCAACAGCAGCAGCAGCAGCAGCAGCAGCAACAGGTGCAGCAAGAGCTACAGGGGCTGGAGGCAGCAGCAAAATATCTACTATCTCTATCGAATTCATCTAAGGCGCTGCTCGTGCTGCTGCGGCGGGGGGACTGGCCGGTGTATATGAAGTCTCCCTCAGCAGCAGCAGCAGCAGCAGCAGCAGCAGCACCAGCAACAGCAGCAGCAGCAGCAACACCATCAGCAGCTGCAACAGCACCATCCTCAGCGGCAGCAGCAACAGGAGGATCAGCACCAGCAACAGCAGCAGCACCAGCAACAGCAGCAGCAGCAGCAGCACCGACAGCAGCAGCAGCAGCACCGGCAGCAGCAGCAGCAGCAGCAGCAGCAAATGTGTCTGTTTTAGGTTTGAAAGGAGACACAGCAGCAGAAGCAGATGCAGCAGTTCAGATGGCGGGGCTGCAGTTTAGGGATTTCCCTTCTCAGGTGTATAGGCAGCTGCAGCAGCAGCTCAGCGCCACCTGCCCATACACCCGAAACCCCCTCTGGCTGCAGCGAGCTATCGATAGCAACACTCGCATCGATTGCAGGCAGCAGCAGCAGCAGCAGCAGCAGCAGCAACAGCAGCAGCAGCAGCAGCAGCAGCAGCAGCGAACGCTCCCAGCTGCTGCAGAAGAAACAGGGCTGAGCTTCTTTCCTTTGCTGCCAGAGGCAGGTGCAGACCCAGCAGCAGCAGCAGCAACAGCAGCAGCAGCAGCAGCAACAGCAGCAGCAGAAGCAGCAGCAGCAGTTAAGAGACTCCCGCTGCGTATCTTCAGCATCGACCCCCCCACAGCCAAAGACCTCGATGATGCCATCAGCATCAGAAGGCTGCCGTCTCCTGCTGCTCTTGCTGCTGCTGATGGAAGCAGCAGCGGCGAAGCCAGCACTCTAGCTTTATCATCTTCCTCATCATCACCC